AAAACAGTCCTCCGGACGTTGAGTCTAAAGATGCAAGAGCCCATATCGAAAGAAGGCAATGGAGGTATGTCACCAATCAACTAATGCAGGTTACAGATCGGAGGTATTAACTGGTTAAGCACAGGAACGACATCCGTTGACGAATATAGGGATTTGCAAGTGGTAGTATATCTTGTTAGCAAACCCTTTCTCAAGTTCTATGTGAGATGAGCTAAAACTAATGAAGAAACCAGAATCAACCCTTCATGTTCACATTCCTCTTTGAACTCGAAACGCCATCGCTATCCTCTTCCTCATTTTACCGGAGCATCCACCACCAGCTCGGGCCTCTTCAAAGGCCTCTATTGCTGTCAACGTCATTAGACAAGATTCCCCAACGAGCTCCGCTATGGAACCAGTACCAAAGCTCGAAAGAAAAAGGACCCAATCAACAGTCACCGCTGTATGACCTTATTTACGACCCTACGACGTGTTTCATCCACACCTCCCTTCCCAACATACCGGAGCCAGGAACACCAGTCCAAACAATAAATTTATCGTCACACAGTTCTACTGAACCAGCATGGTCCCGCCAAGATATCCTCAATGTCCACATGCAAATTCTAAATACCTACATCGAAACAAGAAACCGGCCCTCAGAGATCGAACGAACGTGTAAGACAAGCAGAGGCTGGTGGGTGTTATGGATGCGTCTAAAAGACTCTAGCGCCCACGGTGGTGAAATAGCTGGAGAAGAAATCGAACAACAGCAAACACTACCAGCGCTGCTATCATCTACATCATCCCGTCATGCCTTGCCATCAATGAAACTCACACCACCCCCAAAGGAAGCCTTCCTCGTCCGGAAGGCCAGCGATTACGCCTTACCTAGCCATGCTCGCAAATCCAGCGGAGCAAGATTCTTCCGGGACATTAGCGGTGCATCAGCCGCGTCGCAGTCCAGCGCAGGTGATGGACGAGTGGGATGGTCTGGGCCGGGGAAACTTGCTGAGGGTGTGGGACTCGATGCGCGACGGTATATTGAAGCCTTGTTTAATTTGAATCGGTAAAGAGGGGGATAAAGAAAAGCAATGTTTTTAATAGGGTTTGCCATCCGTAACGATAGTGAAGTTTGTTGCAGAGAGTATGTTTGCCCATGGTGGAAAGATTCAGATAGTTGGGAACTCCCATATAGCATCCAGATATGTGTTAAAAACAGTTTAAATGAAATTATTAAGGTTAATCTATCTATATCTAAATATAAAGTGTCTTAACACGTCTGCCTAGATATGGATACACCCTCAATTTACCATCAACTTTTGTCGGACCAACCAACGATGTGAACCAGATTGTACAGAAAGTAAAAGTGAACAATTACTCCGCTTGTCCTGAATTTAACCCCCTTATCTACACCGTACAATTCTATCAGCATAATCTACATTGGCAACAAAAGCAAATTTGCACGCCCAGTGACTTCCACTCCCAACATCCTCGTCCCTCATCCCTCGTCCCTTCTTGGCATTTTGGCAAGGTAAAGAGTGAGGCTACAGGGTATTTATATATGGTTAGAGACGTCTCCCATGTAACTATATATAAGTACCTTCACATGCATGTACTTAGGTACTCTATCATAGGGTCGAAATGGCAGCCAAAATGGTGAACTTGTCCTGTATTGGTCTTTGACTTTAATTAATCTCAGAAACTCAATCATGATTGCATTTTGAATGGGGAAAAACAGCAAGATATCCCCAATACAGGTATCGAGCTATAGCTCAACAGGAGCAAAGGGAATTTATATATATTAAAAAAAAAAAAGGAGCACAAAAGAAAAGAAAACGAGAAGTGAATGTGAAAAGAAGACACTATCTTGTCCAACAGGATAATATATTCCGCATGCACTCCACAGATCCCTCAAAATGGCATCAATGGCATCTTAAAACAGAATATCCGCAGTCCACATTTAACAACAATGAATGGGAATGAAAACACAAACACAGGTGTGCAAAAAAAAAAAAAAAAAAAAAAAAAAAAAAAAAAAAAAGTCAAATATACCAGAAGCAATATGCCCAGTGCCTATATAGCCACCTACCTGCCTAGGGCAACCAAGAGGCTATTTAATAAATTGGTTTCAAACTTTCCATTCCCCCTTTCTCCCCATCCAACAAGACATAACCGATTCGTAAGTCCAGGTTACAAACGTGGGTTATTGATAGGGGCGTGGCGTGTATGAGAGAAGAGGAGACATAAGAGACAGAGAAGGGAGAGGGGAGACTTTAAGGAGCAAACATATGTTTCTGATTTGAATTCTCCTGGATTCAAAATATGATCACACCACGATACTAAACACAGTGAGGGTGGGAATGATATTAGGGAAGACTTTGTATTGAGGAGTAATAATCAAGGATAAGGTAAACAGAACTACTAGATAGACTCGAGATATTTGGGGGGGAAGAGGACACCAAGGCGGGTTTAATTTAGAAACAGGACAAATAATAAAAACCGCAGTTTATTGATCAAAACCAAAGGACAAAGCAATCAATCAATCCGAGGGTTTGTTAGAAGGTTAGTAAGGACAGGGAAGCTAAAGGGCACACAAAATAGATGGGGAATGTTGTGATTTGGTCCTCGGGAAGGCCTGGGTATGGGGCAACTGTACTTCCGTTTTGGTAAAACGCAATACATGGGTCCGATGGTTGGGGATGAGTAACTCTTGTACCCTTTGTTTTGTGCTATGCGTTGCATAATGGGCCAAACATGGGAAGATTGAATACAGAAGCCAAGATATCTGGTAATGATCACAATGCTCTTATTTTTGACATCGAATTGGAGAACAAAGCACACAAACAGCGAAGCAGATCCACAAGTTTAAAAGTGAAACAAGATTGAGGGAGGGAAATAAACTAGGGAGCAAAAGGGTAAAAGGAAAAGATAGGAGATGTAGCCTGCAGCCGAAAAATGAGAATTAAAAGATTCACAAGATATTTGCATTTCCCAGTGGGTGTATTCTTTCATCTCCTCTTTAATTGGATCCATAGAACAGAATGGGACAGCATAAGGCATGCGTGGACAGTGGGAATGAAAAAAAAGGTAAAGGGAATTTTTTTTTTCTTTTCTTGTTTATTTGTTGGCAACCATTGCGGATATTCATCATCAAAAGTCATGGCCACTCAAATCTCACAAGAATTAGGCTTAACATGGGATAGATGCATCGATCGACCAAATTCGAGGGCTTGGACTAGCAAAGGAGAGGCCATGGTTAAAATGGTGCTCTCCGGATAGGCTTCGCAAAATGAAACAATGAGAAAGTCGACCAATTGCATAGCCAGATGATCCCCATCTTAAAGAGAACGTAGGGCAGGTAATTCAAACCATCCACACATCTCAACGCAACAACTGATAACACGAGCCACCAGGAATTTCTATCCATGTACCGTTCGTCCCAGTTTTGTCAGGAAGCTTAGGTGGGAAGTCTTCCGATCAATATATGGCTGAGCTGGAACAAAAGAAAGAAATTTACAAAATCTTGCATTTCTTTTTCTCCTTCTTCGCCAGCAGTGCAGCTCGAGTAGCTGACTCGAACACCTCACGAACTCCGTCGTTTGTTCGGGCGGAGCATTCCAGATACTTGTAAGCGCCAATCTTCTTGCGGACCTCCTCACCCTGTAGACATACATATCAGCACCTAAAATACTTGGGACTTACAGAGGAGCTATCTGTTGACATACCTGTTCGGTGGTCACGGGCTTCTGAGACGTCTTGCGCAGCTCTTCAATCGTTCTGGGGTCGTCACGAAGATCTTTCTTGCAGCCAACGAGGATAATGGGATGACCCTGGCAGAAATGAAGGACTTCAGAAATCCACTGAAGATATTGGTTAGCTAGAGTTCAATCACATAGATGAGCGATTCTAGACCACCAACCTTCTCCTGGACGTTGTCGAGAGAGTCGGGGGAATCGATAGCGAAACAGATCAGAATAACGTGTGAATCAGGGTAGGAAAGAGGTCTGAGTCGATCGTAATCTTCCTGGCCAGCCGTATCCCAAAGTGCGAGCTCGACATGCTTTCCATCGACCTCAACGTCGGCCACATAGTTCTCGAAGACGGTTGGGACGTAGACCTAAGAGGGACGAACCGCATCAGCGTGACTGTTTTGAATTTGAAAGGAAGGCCCCTGGGTCATTATTTTGTGGACATTCCGATCGGTATAATCCATCAAAACAAGCAGAGATCGTTGGGGTTTTGAGGGGAGGGTAGGCAGGGGTGTGAATATGTACCTCAGGGAAGGTACCCTTGGAAAACACACTGTGGAAATGTCAAAGTCAATAATCAATACAGTCAGATAGTCAAGCAAAATATCATATCATGAATGAAACAGGCTGCTCTCTAAGGAAGGAATGCTCACATCAAGAGACAAGTTTTACCACAGGCACCATCACCAACAATGACAAGTTTACGACGAATCTCAGCCATCTTGATAACAAACTGAGGTTTGTTAGTAAAATTAAAATAAAAAAAGACAAGCAGTAGAATCAGCAAGCAAGGAGTAGATAGAACAGCAGGACAAGAGAGAAGAGAATAGAAAAGATGAAGAGATGTCAGGGAGTCTGTTGATGTTTGCTGGCAGGTATTTCTGATGTTGTTGTTGGTGGTGTGTTGCTGGCGAAGGTTACCAGAGAGAACAAAAGATAAACATACTGATGACGATGGAGCAGGAGAGTGAAGTGAACAGCCTCAATCAATAGAAGGGATAAAGAGAGTAGTTAAGAGAGCAAGCCAGAGAAGACAGTAGCAGAAGCTATAAGAGCTGAAGGGATGAAAAGATGGTGGGAACAAGATGGGCGATGAGCAAAAGGAGAAAGGTGAGAAGAGCGAGGTGTCTGGAGAGGATTCAGAGGTTGGAGGTTGGAGGTTGGAGGTTGGAGGTTGGATGGAGACGAAGCAGGCGGAAGCCGCAAGAGTGTTGGCTGAAAGAGGCCTAGGGCGCTTTTGACGCTTTGAGGGCTTCCGGGCTTGGGACGAAGATGACTCAGCAGTTTTTGAGCTTGCAGCAAGATACGCCAGAGACTGAGCGAGAGACCATAAAAAAGTATATACAGAGAATGTATGTATTAACTAGTTATATCTGTTTTTTTTTTTTTTTTTTTTAATATTTTCAAGAGATCTCTGAATGTAAAAAATTCAATAGGTGTTCTATGTACATAGTTACGTGCATATTGACTCTGTATGGTTGATGGATAGCAGTCCCGATGCCTTCGGAAAGCACCCTCCCATAAACATCAAATTCTCTCAAAGCTATCCGTCAAATTTCTACATGGCTGGTATCGAGAACATTTTACCATAATTATTGTTTGCTTCTATTGTTGCCAAATCCTCACATTTTACCAGTCCAATATGCAACAACCAAGAGTCTGCTCTCGAATTGGTTGCCCTGCCCTAGGTATATTGGCGACTGACTTGACACGAGCATCTGCCTAGGCCAAAAACAACGGCAAAAAGGGAAAAAAAGAAAAAGAAAAAGGATAAAAAGTTTTTTCCTCAATTTTTTCCTTACGTAGCCTCAGTTCCTAACTAACTATCCTTTCGACGTGGGTGTGTTATGTAATATACACGCTGTGGTCCATGGTAAAATAAGGCATCTTCCGCCTCCGCCAACTCAATCTAAACGAAACGCAAATCAGTACCATCAAAGTTAACAAGTCTTGCATCGCTCGATGCTGAATGCCGCCCAAGAAGGGCATATTCGGACATAAGTTGAGCACCCGATCTCCCGTCAGACCCTTGGCTTGGAGCTTTCCTTATCCACATGCTCTCCTGCTGCCCCAGATCTTGAAGTCTCCTCAAGCCATGGCACAGACAGCATCAAGATATATCGAATAACGATGGCGGGCTCAGATAACTATATCATGTCATAGTATTGGGTAGACTAGACATCTACCCTTCCACTTACCTCCAGGCCAAGGAATAACACTGGCCATTTGGTTCAAATTTTTCACGTCAAATTATTCGACCTTCGCAAGGAGTATGGTAAGCTAACGTCGTCACACGAAGCATTACTACCGAGAGTTTCCAATTGACGACTGCTTTTTTCACTCCGATGATTCGCAGCCAACTCAAAATGTCTCGCAGCAGCATTCTAGCTTTTAGCTGGACAGGGGCGCACGAAGACCTTCATCCCAGTCCAAAAGATCAGCTGTGGCGGTGCAAACCCTCCAGACGTACCATGGATGGATCCATTGATTGACAGCCCTGAAACTGCATGCAGGAAGCTAGGGAAGTTACTCAGGTAATAGAGAATGCATGCAAGTGACTCAAACCTGCGAATCTTCAGCGCAGAACTAGAGAGTTGATAAGTCGACGACTAAGTACGGACTGAACTCACTCGACTTGAGGATGCTCTGCGAGCAGCGCCCGTAAAAGCTACACCCCATGATGATTAACTAGCCAAAAAGCCCAATAAACTAAAATATTTAATACCCTACCAGTAAAAAATGTAATTATGACGCACAGGAGCCACCGCTGATATCAATAAGGTCACCGTAACTTTGGAAACCTTACCAAGGAATTCAAGATACAAAACTGCAAGGCAGACTTGTGTGAGCTTGGATGGCCCCTTCCACGTGCAACCTGCCACACACGAATCCGCCCGGGAACACTTAAGGCCATTCCCATTTTGGAGACGGGCAAGGCGGTCTTCCTTACAGGGATTGGACGTGGCTGATTCCAAGGCTCTTACATATGTTACTGTTTCTCTTTTCCAGCAATTGAAATGCAAGGGAATTCCTGAGTGTCAAATATTATCCAGGAATAATTAACGTTTCATACGTGGAGAATTATATCCAGCGGAGCGAACAATTAATCCATTGTCGTTTCTGTTAGCCAGCCAATATCAGGAGATTTCAGAAAGTCCCGAGTAGAGTTACAACCATGGGACTAACGTTTTGACATTAACGTTTCTCCCCGTCTCAAAACTGCGTGCGCCATGCCGTTTCCATAAGCTTGTCTCAGTTCTTTCACGGACCTCCCTCATTAAAAAACCCTAAACGTTTTCTGAAAAAGGGAACAGGCAGACTGACTCGACGCTTGAGAAGTGAGAGGTTTCTTCACTATATATCCTACAAACCTCCCCGGTTACCATCCCCAACTCTTCTGTTCATTGAGTTTTGGCGAGCTATCATGAATGAGCGAAGAATCAGTGAAGCAACCGGGCCCTAGAAGGCCACAATGATTTATCCCCTGGGAGGCGTGGGGAACAGCCCAAACTTTGGTTGAATGGTCGTGATATTGAACATGTCCAAATGGGGTGAAACCAGATACCCCTTTTCCCAACATGAGGCATTGCCCCATTATCCAGCTTCTATAAAAGCGGAAGTGGGATTCCAGAAAATAACCAACTGAAAATACCATAGACGAACCCATCTACTCTGGTAACTGGCTCGGTTCCTCACACTGTCCCTATTCCTGGAATGTTGAACCCCCAATTCACACATATTACAGACGGCTTGAAAAGGCATTTTAATAATGGTTCAAGCGAATCAACGGTAACTGAAAACATAACAATTAATCTCCAAGCTCCTCGAACTCGTTCCAAATACGTCCGTGGCCTGAGATCCAGATCGACCATGTCACCAGGAAGTGGGGAACGTTCAATACCATCCAAAATGCGGGAGCTACAAAGATATCTGATGTCGCTTGTAGAACTGGCCTGTAGAACCATGATGAAATATTCCTTTCTTTTGGCTACAAACAACAAGGATCCTATACCTCTTCAATATGATGTTGCATTTGGCTATAAAACTACCTTCAGACAGTTTGGAGAATGTGCCTGATTGATGGATGCCAAGACATTTGATGATTATGTAATAAGTCCGTAAATTTGCATTCACCCCAGAAATAACAATGCCAGAATCGTCATCGAGCTGATAACTGCTACCTGTCCCAGACCCTTTCACAGTTGCCATTGACCTTTATAACGATGCAAAAGGCCATCAGGCGGGCTACTCTTGCGGCCAACCAGGCCAAACGAAAGGCGAGAATCCAAGCTGAAAAAGATAAGCGCGAGGAAATGAAAAAATACATCCGAGAACGGCAGCAGCATCAGCAGATGATTCTCGACCAGGTCAATGCTGAACGAAAATCGCGGCGGGAGGACTGGTTAAAGGGCCCATTGGCCCCGAAACGAGATTATGCTAGCCTTCAAGGCTTACACGGCACCCTTCCACCGCCGTTCACGAATCCCCCGAGCCTTCCACGCGCGAATAGGGAGAAGTTCGTCAACTTCGCTCCGGGGGATCGAGTGGTTGTGATAAAGGGTAGGGAACGAGGGAGGATTGGAACTGTTTCTGCTATAAATGCAAAAAGCCAGACGATGACTATCAATGGGATTAACAAGGTAAGTGACTATGCTGGGAGCTTTTTCATTATACCATGAGAATCAGAGAAGTATATGCTCATCCGCCAAACCAAAAAATTCCTTAGGCCGATATACGCTATCCCAAATTCCTTTTAGGAGATGAGAATGATAAACGACCATATCGACCAATATCTATGCCAGTTCCCTTCGAGGACGTCCGGCTCGTTGTTCCCCTAACCAATTCCGAAACGGGAAAGGTGGAAGATGTCGTCGTGAAACACATGTATGCCGGAGAGCCGTTCATAGACCATCCATACGGCGTAGGCACGCCCAAGCATACACGATACATCTCGGACCTCGATGTCGAGATCCCTTGGCCCGAGCCAATCATCGAAGACTACAAGGACGAACAAATAGATACCCTACGAATCGACGTGGAGGACCGCACTCATATTCCTTACCTCAATGAGCGCCCATTCCCTCTAACTGTTCTCGACGAGCTTAGGAATAAATTCTCTAAATACCGTACTCGACATGATCCAGAGTGGGTTGCACTGAAGGAAGAAGAGGATAGGCACTTGGAAGAACAGAAGAACAAACTATGGGTCACGCCAAAGATGGCGTATATGGCCCAGAAGGCACAGCAGAGAGTGGAAGAAAGGGAGCAGCGGAAGGATGCAGATGGGAACTATATTGTCCCTCAGGAAACCGTGTCGTATATCGAGCAATTCCTGGCCAAGAAGCAGAAGTAATCTGCGTTAAAGGGGCCGTCAGGACCTTTGGTGACTCCATTTCATGGTGGCGGCAAATTCCATCAGGAGGCTCTGAAAGGCGTTATGTTCCCTTTTATTTGTATATTTCTACTTTTGGGCACAGAAAGAGTTATCGTCATGTTTGGAGGCACAGTTTGAAAGGCCTGTACTGTACTAGGCAATCCAATCATTGTATGATATTATTGGGATACATCTGAGTTTGCTCTAAAGGATTATTTGTGCTTGGCGATTGGTGAAATAGACATAAAATCTCACTTTTAAATATATAGGCGTGTTCAATGCATTAAATATGCACGATAGAAAGCCGGGATTTCTCCGCCTGGAGGGCCTAAAAATATATATCCCAACTGCTTTAGCAATAACAACCAACACTTTTGTTCTACTACCATTTTCTTCTTTTTATGAGACAAAAATAAAATGATTAAGACATTTATGTCCAATATTCGAAATAATTGCCTAAGCTCCCAAAAATAGCCTTTATAAAATGCGATTTGTTACCCCTACCACCATTGTCTAGCGTCAATCCGTGCCCAGTCGTCGTGTTGTCTCAGCCATCTCAAATTTTGGCGCTTCTCCTCTCACCCACCCATCAGGAGTGTCGGGCAACCACATCTCCTGTTCTTTCTTATATTACGCAAACCTCGACATGTCTTCGAGTACTATCCATCATTCCATCATCGACAAAGCCTTCGAGGGCAATGCGGCGCTCCGGAAACGCGTCTACTCTGCCATTGGTAAGTTTCAACACTTTCAAATGACCGTACATTCCTATTGCAGCAAAAGGAATCTTCCACCAGTTATCGTCACGATCACACCCTTATGGCATGCATAAAAATACAAAATGAAACTAACCACATAGACCCACAGCTTCCAGCCCCGAACATGCCAGCCTCTTCGAAGACATTGCAAAATACACCTGCACGCTCCGCAACAGCAGCAGCAGCGGCTCGTCCACCCTTTCTTCCTCCCAGCTACGGGTGGCCGGCGGGGACGGCCCGGCAGCAAAAAAACGCAAACTTATTAACGGAGGAGCAGTGGTAGGGGAAGGGGGAGCCAATTCCGCAAACGACGCAACGCTGTCAGCGGGCCTAACAGCCGATGCTGAGTTACAATTCTACGTGCAGGACCTGTCGTTTGCGGTTCCGCAACGAAAGAAGTTACGGCTGGAACTGACGAGGCTTGCGTCTTCTGCTGGTGACTCTTCGATGGCAACAGAGT